GGGATTCGCTTGCCAATAAATCTGTGAATATTCGCAATAATATTGTAATTGTTTGTCTCAAACGGTAGGGAGGCATGGTTGAATTTGTCCTTATTCCCCACTGGGACCACTGAGTAAATGCATTTCACCCACTGCCTCGTTTGGCGTGGCCAACAGATTCCGATTAATTTGCTCAAGGTAAGTTATATAAACAGATTCATCGCAGTAAGCACATTTTTCTTATCAACATAAGTTTTTGAGACTGCATTGGTATTGACGTCCGCGCACATGACAGGGCCAGCTGTGTGTCCAGAGGCTGGTGATGAATTATGCATGTGATGTTTAAGTGGAAGTATTGAACTGGATTTTGTCTACACATATTTTATATAGCAGGATCAATATGTGCAAAACTAACAAAGCTCAAATTTCCGATTACGATAAATACAGCTCGCACGTTTCTCGAATGTGAACATGTTAGTACTGTTTTAACATTTTTGTTACGCCAAATTGTCAGACGTTCTTGTTTCTGTTATTTGTACGGAACAGTTGGTTCAAAGTTCGCAAATATTCAATGACATTTTTTACTTGCACTTCAAAGCATAACTCCTCTTCATTTTCTGATTTTTATCCCACTGAACCTATTTACTTAATGTAAATTGAAAACTTCAACACTGATCCTTCATATTGCCGAAACATGGGAAACAAAGCGGCGTTAAACTCAGTCTACAAATACCATACAACTATCCGCCACCATAGATTTATTTGGAAAATGAATTCAAAACGCCAGAAAATAACCAGTCTCGATTATCCGCCGAAACAGATACCATCGGGCGTAAAAGGCAAAACGGCGGCGAAACTTACATGAATGAATCACTGAAAATCAGTGATGACACCAGGTGTACACGAAAATGGTAAGCATGTCCTATCGAACCTTAAGACGGATAAAAAAGGAATTAAACTCTATCTGATAAAATCGAGTTTTGTGAAGTCATGTTGCAGTGCCTTAAATGTATGCTAATCGTTTCGGAAGGATAATAATAGCCCAAACGAATAAATAATAATAATTGAATAAAGATACGAATAATTTATTGGTTATAATTATCGTAATTACACCAACGCGAAGGAAACTGGTAACCATGGAAAAAAACTGTGGCTTGAACGAGGCTGACGTAGACTTTTCTTAGGTCATTATTAACGTGACCTTTCTATGGCGTTCTTTGGGTCTGGTTGATGATTTGTTCCTCGTCGCTGTAATTCCACCAGGACCGGCACGGCCTTTCCGTTACCTACACAATAACACAATATAAAGTTTTGTTTATTATTCATTATTTTTATTAAGAGTAAGGACATATTCCTTTGAATAATGCTAAAGTCACGTGAATAAGTGAAACTGGTAAATCTATCGGGGTTGTGATGAGAACGTTGGTTCCTACTCTCAGCATAGTTGTCCCCCGACCTTACTGGCATATTCAATAACACTCCCTGAAATAATGAAGATTGATTATGTGAGGAGGAATCGAAGAAACCAACTTTGACATGTTCGTGACGTAACTATCAAGTGCACGTAGTGTGAAGACATCGATGAAAGTATTGACCGACTGCGACTTTCATTTCCATTCAAATATCAACCACAACGATTTCATGCAATATTTATTACATCAGATAATCAAAAGGCAACTTCTGTGTAAAATATATGTTATTTTACAAATCCCACAATGAATATGCCCACTTATCTTGCTTGCTATTCATGCTGATACATTGTGTGTTATCTTTATCTACAGACATAGTATATTTGTCTTCAAACCTCGGGGCGGCGGGGTAGCCCTGTGCTGACAGCGTTCGCTCGTCACGCCGAAGACCCGGGTTCGATTCCCGACATGGGTACAGTGCGTGAAGCCCATTTCTGGTGTCACCCGCCGTGATATTGCTGGAATAATGTTAAAATGGAGTAAAACAGTACTCACTCACTCTTTGAACCTGAAAGAATGTTCAAAGCAGACATTTTTAACTCTTCTCCATAACAATTATTATTAGCAAAGTGGTCTCCTCAAAGACTGTGCCTTTTGGGCTGTTTTATCACCTTGGCTGAACATCGCATCATCTACTGTTTAAATGTAATTTACAAATCTAGACACGACATACCATTGTTCCTATGTAATATTTACAATTATTCCAACACTGTATGTTCCATGTTCGAGCTAGAATTGTTCTTAAACCTATCATTGTGTTAGGTCACATCTTTCATAGTTCTGACATGTCTGTCCAATACCTACATCAATCTATCCCTTTGTTAACATCATATCAACCAATGTTCTTATTAGACATGTCATTGCATTGATTCTTACTGTTGGTTTTAGGTAACTGGTTTGACTTGCCCCTTCACGATCATTCCAGCGTCTCATGATATAGCGGGACAACTGCTGACTGTTAAACACCATTCCCCTCTCTTGCTCTTTTAATGATACGTTATATATACTACTGTACCTTTTTTATGTTGAATATAATGTCCTTCATACTATTGTGAATTCAGCACAGCGTTCAGTATTCTAGCACCTTAACTACCGGAATTTCGGCATTTGTCTGGTCATTACTTCTGACCTGTCCATGCAAACACTGACCCTTCTAAGACAGTATGTCGATTGTGACTACCTTTCTCCATGCGTTTTGCTGACTCTCGTCACCCCCTGTTCATATATGGCCGATCCCGCTTCTTTGTAGTGCGGATACAAACTTTTAACAAAAGGTGTATTTTGTGATCACACAGGTATACATGTTCTAAATAGATGGAAAGTATCCACGAAACAATTTGCGTGTGGTAGTCGTTATATTCTTGTTGAATGCATGTTTTAAAATGAGTCAGTTATAGTGTTAAAAGCACGGGTGGGTGGCACAGCGGCTAAAGCGTTGGCCCTTCACGCCGAAGACCTGGATTCGATTGCCCACATGGGTACAAAGTGTGAAGCGATATCTGCCTTGGAGTGGCTGAACTATTTTTAATGCGGCGTAAATCCATTTGCTCTCTCGCTCTGTTATATTACGGCTTTACTTGGTGTGCCTGATATAACGGTAAAGCTTCCAAGTCTTTAAGTGTTTAGCGTGCTTCAAAAAGGGAGGATACGCACCCCTGAAACCGAGCATGTCTCTTAGGTCTCATCTCCCGTGAAGATCCGGTTAGAATAGGTCTTCATCAACCCATGCTTGAAATTAATATGAGCCGACAATGCTTGTAAGAGGCGACTAATGGGATCGGCTGATCAGGCTCGCTGACTTGGTTGATGGATGTCATTGTATCCAAATTGCGTGGATCGATGCTGATGATATCAGTTACTGGATTGTCTAGTCTAGACTCGTTTATTTACAGACCGCCGTCAAATAGCTGGAATATTGCTGAGTGCGGCGTTAAACAACAACAAACAAACAAACACGCAAACCTTTAGGCATTATTCCCCTAAGCTCCTAACTTGCTTTTCCTTACCCTAGGTTTACCCTCTTGTAGCTGTTACCCGTTCAGTAATGAAAACAAGGAAGCTATTCAGCAATCATAGATTGAATCGAAGCCATATCTCATTGAGAGCAATCACGAATTTTATCTCGTTAAACACCAAACATCTAGTACTCTGTTATTGTAATGTCCAAGACGTCAATATGCCACAATGACATCACTCCGGCAGCCAAATCTCAGATATACTTCACTTACCCGTCAAATCAATGTCATCATATGTGAACGGTCACCATCTTTCGTCAGGTCTATCGACGCCATCTGTCCCATCGGAAGAAGCTGTCCTGTTGTCCTGCTGTAATCACGTCTTCGCGGCTTACACCCACAGGTAAATATTTACACACAAAGACCGTTTATTACATTATATTTTTAGTCATATGTTTGGTTTTTAGATGTTAACAACTGTCGTAAAACTTTGTTAAAATATCATGTTTCCTCGGGTTAAAAAAACAACGAAACTGCTGTACATGTTAGGCGCCCTGGAAATAAAAACGACAAAAATTAACTTTTTCAATTATGAAAAGAAATCTCTGATAAAAGCAGAGTCCATTGCACGCTTTCGACATCATAAGCCTTTGTTTATGAATCACTATAAAACTGTGATGATACCAAGTGTTCGCGGAAAGAGGAGCGTATCCTGCGTTGTTAAAAGTAAATGTTTGTCTCTTCCTCTCGGAGTAAACATTGTATGTCTTGAAGCGGTGATCGAAAATATATAGCTTTCTGTTTCAAATAAACAACCCAGCCAACGGCGACCAGCCTTGGTTTGTGAGCACAGTACCCGTGCACGTGGGTCTCGCCGAAGTAGTAAGCTCTAGGATCTGAAGCACTTTCCTCCAACATTTGAAAAACCTTGAAATAACTTAATATTGTTCAAAGGGGTGCTAAACATATTTTCCCGTACGTGGCTTGACGAGTTGTGCCCCTTAACTATCAGGATCCGGTAATCCCAGGTAATCCAGATTATGATCTCTGGTCTCTTAACACCACACCCATGTATGTGAATGCGTTTCTCTTCTACCCATGGGAGACTGTCATAATTCTGAACTTCCTTCCCGCGTCCCTGAAGTGTACCACCACATTCCGATGATCATATGTTCAATTTCTTTATTCGACACGACTATTCACCTGTGTCCGTGGGTTTCTCCAAAGTTCTAAACATCTGCATCACTTCTGGCTTTCCTCCCTTACCAAGCTGTCATATACCTGAAATGCTGTTCCCTCACTCAAACTCAAATTAAACAATTAAGTGCGGAGTGAAACCCAACTCACTCACGCTCTGCGTGGCTTCTCTGTATCTAAGCCGTAAATATTTCAACATGATTTAAAACGCCTATGACCTGCACCACTTTGTACTACATATAAATGCGGTTGTTAATGTCATATCTGTTTATGATCGATGTTGTCCAAGGATGACTACGTAAAGTGACACTCTGATCATCACGTTATATGCTTAAATAATCTGACAGCCAATCGCCGCATCCCTCAAAGTGTCCTGGGTCATAACAGCTGGGAGGGGTCAGAGTTGAGTGGATCCCCTTCAATGTCAAGGTCAGACGTACAAGTCCTGCTTACGCCCACAGATTCTGTAGATTTGCATCTCAAACCGAGGCTGACTAGTCAGTGTGGTTATACCTTGAAGTAACACTACAGACGTATCACAGACCTTCTCGACCTCGACCGAAACGTGCACATCACAATGGGAAGATCGCACTCGCAGGTGGACACAGTTTAGTTTACACATTTTCCCAGGATGAGATACGTAATTTTATTGCAAACGTTTCTTAAGCTGAGCAGCCGGCAATATTTACAGAAAAATGTTTTAAGTTCAATTTCTCTTCCAGGAGTTTACAAATGTTTGCCAACAATGTTCAGTAAACATCTTTCCTATTATTTATTAAGTGAATCGGTGACATTTTCAGAGAATGGATGTCAGCGCTATCCTCGCATGCCTCCTCCTGGGCGCTGCCTCAGTACTGGCTGAAGGTGAGGTTTTCTTGTTATCGTAAATACACCAACTTGGATCAACGGTTGCTTAAGAGCAGATTTTCAGGCAACGCCTTTCCAACCGATCCCAACATGGCAAAGAATCAAAGACCAATGCTAACGTGGTTATATGTTTATGAATCCATCAAAATGATTATTCCAGTCAACACATAGCAATCCAATCTGAAAATATCATTGGATTGAAATTTCTTTTACCTTTTGATAGTTTGGAATTGGCGGCACTCAAAGAGTTTGGAATGAGCTATAATTCAACATTGTTTCCATGTTGTGTGTTCCATTCCTATTTCAAAGGCTGGCGTTCCTCTTTTTAGTAATGTAAATTGTGAATCTTGATTGGAAATGTTTGAACATATGAAACTGTAAACAATAAATGAAAAAAAATGTATCCTTGTTAAGTTCTTATTTGAGACATCGCTTCGTGACCATCGCTTATGTAGCATTGACACGATCCCCATGCTTGTAACAACAGTGGCATGGTTAAGCTACCGTTACGTGAGGGCATTTACATTTACCACTGCTGCGTGGATCGTTGTTTTTGCTATGGCTGTATCTCCTGGCCCAGTATCAAGTTATACGGGGCCGACGTCATATAACTGGAGTTTTGCGGCGTGACGCAACTCTCTATTGTTGCGATTTTTTAGATTTCGCACAGGTGTAGTGTCGACTGTGCATTATCTTCAAATTATTATCCCAAATTCTCCTTTTCATGTCAGACTTATCAATAGAGACGGAAGTGGAGCAGTTAGGAGATTTTCACGGAACAATTAAGACCCCGAACTACCCCAGCAACTACCACAACGACTACGAAGGGATCTGGGAGCTGAACATCCCGCCGACCGGGGGCATATATACCCTTGTCCTGGTCATTGACGAGATGGACATCGAGGGAACCACTGGACATTGTTCTGACTACATCAAAATAGACCACAAGGAATATTGTGGACAGTCACCTTTTACAATCAGGGGTAAGTATGTACCCAGCAGGTTAAGGTCGGTTTAGAGGCACTTCGGACGCATGTCATACCAATTTGTTACCACTGGTGTCATTCCGGGACAAGCAGCATGACGGCTCATGCAACTCTCGTGGCCATTTTATCAAACATCTTCCCGAGGCAAGGGAGTTAACTGACAATAAAAGTCCAATGCAACAAATATAATTTATAGTTTGGATATGTTTGATATTCATGTGTCCAGTTTCCACCCTTGCCGAACTAGGCTGGAATTATAGAGTTATATGTTGACTGGAATAACTGCATTATCCCCATCAAAATCGCGCAAACGAAATCGACATCCGGTTCATAAACAATGTAGCAACTGCCGTGCTGATTTCAGTCGATTGCAGGATTTGCAGAGCATGTGTATCGTCAACTGGGCGTCGACAGATATTTGCAAAATCTGTTTATGTTTTTAATACAGGTGCTAGCGTTATTTTGATGTCTTCGCGAGGTAAGACGCGTTTTATTTCAATATAGATCTTGATTAACGATAAGATCGTCTTGACTGGGCGCCGCCGTTTTCTTTGAAGTAATTGCAAGTGATATGAGAGGTCGAATCTGATTGGTCAATAGGCGGGAGACGGCACATAACTCGTAATGGCCACTGGTGGCGCTACGATCGAGCCCAGAAATTCTAGCCCAGATCGGGAAGGGTGGAATCTGTACTTTTATTAACTCCCTTGCCTCTGGAAGACATAATCCCGTAATCTCGCAAACGAACAGTGGTAATAGAGATAACAAAAGTCAAATTATAAGAGGTTCAGATTTTTCACAAACCTTTGTATGTACATACAACTGCTCATATAATGATTTATGCTATTCGGGAATTAATAAAAAAAAAATCCCTGACAGTAGTTTCAACTGTATGTTGGGTTTGTGTCAAGTGCCAAACGTATAAACATTTCAGTATTTTGCTAGCAAATCATAAAATCAATTATATACTCAACAACAAAAGTTCCTGTTCAATATTTTAGTGAATGTTTCAAACAAGTAAAGTTTGGTTTTCAATATTGTAGTACATGTATGGAATCAAGTCACAAAAACGCAACTGCTACAGAAAAGCATGCATTCCATGCAAAAGTTGACTTTTATGCAAGCCCCATGCATTTCACTACCCAAGAATGGGTATAAAAACATGTGCGTTAACGGAATTCCATATGCATTGTTTAGCATCGTGCTGACAACAACCACTCAGAAAAACAACAAAAATACGCAATTATTTAACATTACGAAATGCCACGCCTGTCCGAAAAAAATAGCGCCTGCAAGCCATTGGTATGCTTGAAGCAGGATCGAGTCAACGTGATGTTGCAAGACAATTTAACGTCCACAGAAACACCATTTGGTGTATATGGCAACGTAGGCAACAGACGAATGCAGCCAGAGACCATCCTCGGAATGGCAGGCTATGCGTAACCAATATTCGACAAGACAACTGGATTCAAACAACACACGTACGAAATCGATTCCAGCCAGCAACAGTGACTGCAAGAAGCAACCCTGGCCTTCGACGAATATCTTCACAAACGTCGTCGCCTCTGATATGCAGGGATCGTCGCCAGAAGACCCGCCAGATGTCCCATTTTTACAGGAAACCACCGTCAAGCACGTCTACAGTGGTGCAGACAGCGTCTACGCTGGACGGCCATGCAGTGGGGACAAGTTCTATTCACTGACGAGTCTCGTTTTCACCTCAGCCACAGCGATTAACGGATTCGAGTGTACCGACGTCGAGGTGAACGTCAATCATTGTGTCATCGAAGAAGATCGGTTCGGGGGCGGCAGCGTTAGGGTATGGGGTGGGATAACAGCAAGACAGAGGACCCGTTTGATAGTGGTACCGCGACGAGATCATCGGCCCTGTTGTTCTATCGTTTTTGCGTCGTCATGGCCAGGCATTACCTTTCAACATGACAACGCCCGGCCTCATATTGCTCGACTTGTTTAGCATGCTCTTCAACAAAACAACGTGAATGTCATCCCCTGGCCGGCTCGCTCCCCTGATCTCTCACCAATCTAGCACATATGGGATGAGATGGATCGGCGCCTTCGACGTCAACCACGTGTTCCACAGATACTCCAGAAACTTCGAAACATGCTCCAGCAGATATGGACAGATATCCCACAGGACTTTGTGCGACGCCTGGGCCATTCCATGAGACGCAGATGTGTTGCTTCCATCGCAACCAGAGGTGGAGACACACGCTATTGATTTGTAAATTAACATTTTGGCATGTTCATGGTTTTTTTATATGAAATCACGCATTTTCTGAAGTCAGTATGGCAAATTAAACCATTTCAACACATACAGGAGTCTTAGTTTGTATTTTTATCTTGTTTAGATACAAATCATACTTATAAACAAAACATAGTAAGGAGGGATTCTGACAACAAATTATTTGTAGTTACACGGGCTTTCGGCACGTTACGGAAAGGGACGAATGGTGACGAATGACGTTGTACCCCACTTCGATCCCTACAGCGATTTCTGTTGTTTGGGACATTATGACTGCATAAATATTTCAGACACTGCTTTTTACTAGGGACATATCCTTCTGTACAGGTAGCCAGTGATCACGCTCTCTTCTTCTCTAAGAATTGCTTGTTGCTGTTATTACAGTGCATACATTTTCTTTAAATGTTTCTTATATTTTTCACAAATTAAGCTTAGCAAGAAAATTCTTATATTTGCAACTTGCTAGACCAGTATATCTCGTTTATAACGCCACTAATCAACCACAGCTAACGCATTCTCGCGCTTCAAATTACGGTCTCTCTTCTCTTGGTTAAGCACTGATGCGTGTTTTCTTACCAGCTGGCACATGTTTGGCCATCGGCTAAAACTGTAATCAAAATCAACTCTTTTTAGCAATACTGAGACTATATTCTTACCACCTTCTTTGTGTAGTCAACTTTGTCAGCCTTGGACAGATAACACTGCCGGAAATTACAACATCAGAGAAATAGTTAATGTTGTAAAGGTAGAGCTATGGGGTATATAACTCTTGAATAAACCCAAAGGAACGTTCAGTTCTCTCCTCTCTTGTCTAAGGCTCGCAACCAAATAGTTAATTCCCCATATGACATGACAGTAACGTGATCACTAGATCAATGCTGTCTTACTGTCATGGTTTAAAAAAAATGCACATTACACACCTCTTGTTGATCTACTTGCTTTCACCGACGGCCTACGGATAAGAGCCAATATAATTTCTTGCCACACTAACAATTCTGATTATTGTCCTCACTCTCAAATTACAAGAACATATCTGACGAACATTTGAAATATTGTAATTGTATAGGGCCAATTTCCTACTATGGGTGATACATGTATGTTCAGAGCAGGATAATGCTCGCTCGTTTAATTAACACTGGATTCCATTTGTGCGGAATTCTCTAAACATATTATGTTGTTTCTGTTGATAACATTTGTAGTTAGATGACCCTCAGACTGTCTAAATAAAAAGGACAAAAAGTATTTCCATAATCACAAGAAATGTCTACCAAAAGCAGAGTCCATTGTACTACATCATGAATATGTGTTTATGAATCACTGTGAAGTAGTGATGATGCCAGGTGTTCGCGAAAACGTGGCACCCGTCATAAACACAGGCAGAGGCAAGTCAATTCTTCACCTGACAAAGGAAACCGGGGACATATGGTACATGTCAAAATAGGGAATTGCATCGGACATCAGTTTCGTCACTGATGCTCAGTT